ATGGATTTGTGCCATGTGTCTGTTTGGAGGCAGCCTAGATTTCTTCCAAACTTCTCCTACACTGTAAAACATAGAATGTCGAGGCAGTTGGTAGTTCGGCAGTCGTAACACATATCCCAAGTGGACAAGTGGACTGAGTCATGTTGGTAGATGTAGGCTACGTGGTTGGGGTCCGCGAGACGAAAGTCACCAATGGTTAGAGACCTTGAACGACATGGCTCAGAATTGTTTTCAATGGTGCAGGTGCATCCACTCTTTGTGTGCTTTTTAATTCTAACCTTCTGAATTCCTCATCACCTCTGTCTTTTTCTTTCTAACCTTATCGCACTGAATTATACTTCTCGAATCATATCTTCTCTCCCTAATCTTCTCCATTACTGCTAATACTTCTACTATCACAATCAGTCTTGGATTTGAACTGACAGTTGCGTCTTTGTGCTGATGTGTTATGGCAACCTGAACTGATGTACGTATGTACGAAGTTCTGCGTTGTATCTATCTATCTATCTACTTAATTGATTGGTCTGCCATTCTTACCTTGTACCCGTTTCCTAATAGCAGCACTGCTTGCTCAGTGGTCACAGGTTATACGAGCAATGTTTCAAAGATACCTTTGATCGAATACTAGAAGACCTCAAATATCGTCTACTCTAGCTGAGTGAACTGTTGTGAAGTAATCTCTTCATTTGGCTATTAGACGGATATTTCGCCTAATTCATAAGTGATACAAGTTGTCAAAAGCCAGTCAAGCCTTCTGTATCCGTACCAATTTGACTTACTTACTTACTTACTTACACCTGTTACCCCCGATGGAGCATAGGCCGCCCACCAGTTTTCTCCAACCTACTCTGTCCTGGGCATCCTTCTCCAGTTCTGGCCAATGTTTGTTCATTCTTCTCATATCTTTCTCTATTTCTGGGTGTAATGTGTTCCTTGGCCTTCCTCTTTTCCTTTTGCCTTGAGGGTTCCATGTGAGGGCTTGTCTCGTGACGCAGTTAGGTGCTTTCCGCAATGTTTTTTTGGCAAGTTAGTTTTTGACGGAATGGGGTCGCCAACCCCATGTCCAACCCTCCTCCTTTACCGGGGCTTGGGACCGGCAGTAGACCCGAAGGTTCTACTGGCGGAGTTGTACCAATATGACAGTGATGATTATTTAGACACTGAGATAAAACAACTGTTCAGTTCCTTTTCGGTTCTGATACCGATTTGTTAATCTTTCATAATTTTGTAGTTCGGTCACATATATATATTAACTTCAAAATATCTGTTCAAACAGTAATCATGCTTGCTATGATCATCATCTCTATGTTTCATTTATCATTAACGTTACACTAATTCTAAGAGTAATATAGAAGAAATAAATCTTTCTTTGAAGAAGATATAGATCTATATATTATCTCCTGTTTGCTAAATTGGACATTTACAAGTCACTTCAAACAAACAAACAAACAAACAAAAAACAACATATTCAAAATACAATCTTAAAACTGTACACAATAAATAAACCTACTATTTAAAGATAACAATGAATACACTAATAAATATGTTTAAAAAAAAGAAATAGAGTCTTCCACCTTCACAAATATAAATAAGTCACTAATAATTATTATATTGTTCAATGTTAAATAACGCCTGTTATAATAAAGTAAAGTAATACAATTTTTCATCCCGCCTAAATTCACTTTGAATACAACTGTGTATTGACCAATGTATGCATGTGTCTGTCTGTCTGTTTGTGTGTGTGTGTGTGTACTAGAGTTTAACTGGAGATGTGGTTAAAATGAATGAGAAGTATTTAAGAATAATTAAAAACATTAAAACACAAGAAAAAAATGAAGAAAAAAACAAACAAACATTGTTTTGTCAAGTGAGATTTACAATGATTTCAATCAAAACACACTAAGTTGGGCGGTTGTTTTTTTGTTATTAGAAGAAAATGTAGTTTTCACTGTGAATTTGTTTGTTTTTTATTGATCGAGAAAGTTCAACCAGCACTGGTTAGTAGGTCTCTTATAGTTTCATTGAATTTATGAAACGATTAATGTTGGATAATTATTGGAAACCTTGATATACTACTGGATGTCCGTCTCGTTCCAGTACATGATCCTGTGAGAGAGAGTATCGAGCCTGACTCTTTCTTGATTTCGCGTGCAAATTGTTTCAGCTGATTGATTGATTGAGTGTAGCGTGTATGTTTGACTGGATTTTAACATAATCGAATAGATTCTTCTTAATTCACAATATGGTAAAGTGTGTTTTTGATGCTGAAATATTCAGTAGTGTAGATATAACTTCTTAACTGCTTATATCTGATTGTTATTTGGTAAAGAAATTGTGATTTACACATAAACTTCATTATTATAAATTGTTATGCAGTTTGTATTACTGCTCAATGCTGAATACACTGACTTATAATTATTGTGTAACATCGAAGTCAATCATTTTTGAGGATTTGATTTTGACCAATTTGGTCTCTCGTGCTGTTACGGGTATGAGGGCGGTTGTCAGTTCCCGGCTGCCCACACCGTGGAAGGTTGTTTCTTGAGGGACCTGAAAAAGAAAATAGATTAGTGTTGGTCTTAGAGACCTGGGTGCGTGACCGCAGAGCCCAGGGGACAACTGCTTGAGGACGGTCACGCACAGCCTTTTTATGGTTAGTATTTAAAGTATTAGCTCCGTTCTTAAAGGCCCTTAGTGGGCACCCTTACCCAAGGAGACGGAAATCCGTGAGGTAGGGGAGGTTTGACATTTTTAGGGTCGACCTTTTCTAACCCTTCCTTCCTTGTGAGAAGGCAGCATCTCTGCGGATGCTGGTTGTCCGAGGGAAACACCTTACTGCTGTCACACCCCTCTACAGTTAGTCAACAGTACGACTTCGCCCTGAGACCTTGAGTAGCTGTTTTTAGTCTCATCGTTCTCCAATCGACCTGCCTGGCATGGTAGAACCTTCAGGAACATGTGTTCCAGCCAATCTAGCTCGGTTGGGTCATCACGATAGGCGAGCGATAACTACCACGTCAAGGTAGCAGCTACGGTCGGGTTATGTAACATCAGAAATACTCGTTGAGACATTGAACAAGAAAGACTGGTTCAGTGAAGAGTTCTCATTTTTCTCGACAAATGCATTTTCAGAGTTGTACAATGGCAAATATATACTTTTTTTATCATAGTAATAAAAAATTTCCAACAACGCTGATGAGATAAAGGTATTCAGATGGTGGAGAAAGTTTGTAGCCCAAGTGGATGATTACGATAGAGTTTTTCGTTCTCTGAGCTGGATATTTTCGTTACGGAGCTCTGATTGTTCTTCTTCTGAACAACAACATCATCAGTAGCACAAACTACAGGTAGAAGTCTACAATCAAATCTTCACAATCAAAATATCCAGCTCACAGAACGAAACTAACATAGATAAATGTATAAAACGTTATTTTGATTTGAAGTAACTGAGAATAGCATTGATGTTGTTGTTCTTGAAGGCTTCAATATTCATCATGAAAACTAATCAGTAACTTCTAATTGAAAACGAAGACTCAAACACAATAAGAAAAAAAATGTTCAAATTAAGATAAACTACAACCGCTAGGATCAGTTAAGGGTGTAACCAAAACCATTGAGAAGTAGATTTAGAGAAAGCAGATGACTGTTAGCGAAGGAGTAACTATGACTCTCTTAAGGTAGCCAAATGCCTCTTCATATGAGGGGCGTAGCTCCAGAAATCCTGAGGTGGCCTCGGGTTGAGCAATACTTGGAGACTTTGAGAGGGTTGTGGTGGCGACCACCTCTTCGTGGTCCCGCTAGGCAACGTGGCGGTGACAACATCGCTGCGGCCAAAAGTCGTTCCGATCGCTGAGGATACCGTGCTTTTCATGGTCCGGATAAATGGCACGCTCATGGTCGCAAGTCTGTGGATGCGTTTGACCAGTCTGGGGGATTAAGACTGAACGACTCTAAGTCGGTATCCCGTCCTTAAGCGTAGGTAAATTCTCGAAAGGGATGTAGTAGGATGATCGAGGGCGGCGCTGGACGCTATGTTTAGGGAAGCAGCCGCAGACATCCGATCCTATGTGGTTGTCTCTTACATGCTGCACTCGATGTAGTGTGTGAACTGGTGTCGAGGCCCCTTAAACAAGGGTCTCAAGTTGGGTTTCGGTGCTTTAGTGCTGAAAAGGGTACTGAACACCAATGATGTCTGTCCACTTCTGTGGGATGAACCCTGCTTGGCTGAGCGCTTGCGTTTGGTCGAGTCCATGACATCTTCCTCATGGAAAGGTGTACGTTCTAGCTGACCTTGTGGGACAAACTCGATCTTTAGCTTCATGCGAGGTTCAGAGGGCCTCGATCGATTGTATCAACGCAAGGCAGTTGGAGGCCGGACGGTTGGAATGGCTGTTGGTTAGTGCACTGCTTGGGTGGCTCGGTAAACCGCTTCGGGGTGCCAGGTCCAGCTGGGTAAGCCCACCTTGCCGCCCTTGCCGATTGGGGATTGTGGGTAATGGATTGGTTGGAGGGATCTTTTGATTCATGAGTGCCCGGGCGGGAGTTACTGCTCGTGTGCGTACTTTTTGGATGTCCAACTTGTCTGCAGACCAATCTGGATATACATGTACGTTCCTTCGTGGGGCAGGGATGACTACTGTCTTAGTACAGTGATAAATCTATGCGTTGCCGTAAAAAGCAGCAATGTGCATGTGCAGCAGGCCTGTTGGTTAACCAAGACTTTTTTTTAGAGAAAGCAGATGACTGTTAGCGAAGAAAAAAAACAAATATTATGTTGCGATAGATTAAGATCATGGTAAATGAAACAAACTGCATGGTTGCGGTTCTGCTAATCACACTACTACTACTACTACTACTACTACTACGAATACTACTACTCACACTACTATTACTCTGACTTCTATTGATATTATCTAAGAGAATAAAGCATAAAATTCATCAGACATTTTGATAGATCGATGTCACTATATAGATATTTCCTTTTTACTTTCAATTCATAGGTAACTATGACTCGTACTGAAGATGCTTTACTTGCTATACGTGATCCTAATCCATGCATTGATGGTCGTAAAGCCAATGTGAATTTAGCTGTACTTGGAGCTAAACCACGTCTTATGCCTGGAAGTAAGTGTCCGATTATTATTTGTTTTGAGATTACATTGTCAGATTACATTTTTTTGACGTTCAGTTTGTCATGTATCTTTTTTTCCCCCATTTATAAACGTGAATAATGAAAGACTTGTTAATTACTTAAGCCTGTTACCCCTAATAGAGAATAGGACGCTGACTAGTATTCTTCAACCTACTCTGTCTAATTTCTGTTCATTGTTCTCATTTCTGTCTGTATTTCTTGGCGTGTTGTGTTTCTCCTTCTATCTCTTTTCCTTTGACCTTGAGGATTCCAGGTTAGGGCTTGTCTTGTGACTTAGTTGGATGCTGAGTAAGTAAGAATTAATATATTGAGAGTTTTGATTAAATTTTAGAGTAAAAGTCTTGCGTAACCAACTCATCAAACATTAATATCACCTGAGTGTATTGCTTCCTTTCGGAGTTCTAGTTGAGAAGACGTGATCAATGGAGTTCAACCCTGTCGGGTGTAGGCAGTAACTATCAAAGACAAATGGGTGAGGTCGCGCAAAAATCCGTAGATCAATCAGAGTTAGACATTAACACCGTTGGATGCCGGCCCAGTGGTCCGATGGTAAGGCGTTCGCCTACAATGCCAAAGGTCCAGGGTTCGAATCCTGCGATGAGCAGGAGTCGTGGATGCGCACTGCTGATGAGCAGTCCCATATCAGGACGAAACAGCCGTCCAGTGCTTCCAGGTTTCTAATGGTGGTCTAACAATGATTGATTGATGATTTCAAATGTGTAAAAACGCAAACCTCCAAAACTGTGCCCCAAAAAAGATCAATATATCATACTGACATACTTAACATACAATCGTTTGTCATTAATTGTTAATGATATAACTGTTTGTTCTAGGTTGGTCACAAAGATATCTGCTAGGATTGAAAGTCTAGTCATCATAATAAGAATATGCATTTCATTCACATTTTCTTTAAGTATATCAATAAAAAATAATGACAATCCAACGGAAATATTGATTATTAACAGAGGTGCAGCATAGTGGCTAGCTAGCAGTTAAAATCCAGAATGCGCATTTCGTCCTATTTTGAACTCCTCGTCTGAAGCTGGATGGATGTACGTGACACATCTCAGAGATTGTGTTGTAGAAATCCTAATGATCATGACCCCTTATGAAGTTGGATTCATCCTTCTTGTACAAGCTCATTTAAGTGTAACTTAAACTCGTAAAACAAAAACTTTAATAGAACTCTATCAACAATCATAAATGTTTCACTCTAGATTGGTGGGATTGTTGTCTGGTACAATGGTCCAGAGTTAAGGTGGTCTTGTGCAAGACCGAAGATCCTGGGTTTGAATCTTGTGAGTAACAGGAGTCGCAGATGCGCACTGCCACTGATGAGTTTCGTACCGGGACTGAAAGGCCGTCCAGTTCTTCCAGGTTTCTTCTTTCGGTGCTCTAACAATGATTCATTCATGATTTCAGTAATCATAAACTTGTATTAGCGTGTAATGATGGTTTGAACCTTCCTAATAATGTCTATCACTACGACTGATCAGTCTCATATGGCGTATGTGAATTTTAGGATGCAGGTCTATCCAGCTGACAAGTCTGAAATCAGAGGAAACGTAGCTTCTTCAATTCCTCTGCTAGCCATCATCCATTTGTAATTAGTTTGCTTTCTTTATAAAGACTCTTTACCTTCAACTCGTTAATCATTCAAATCGTTGGTGGTGTGAAGCGTCATACATTTCCATAGATCATACTTTGTTGAGTAAAATGAAATTGCGATTCTACAAAAACTCATGTTAATCATCATCAATTGTCTTTTAAAAGTTACTATTTGTAATTTTAATGAGAAAATCGATTTAATCAGAATGATCAGCTGTACTAATTGTTACTTAATGTACTTAATTGAACCTATTACAACTCAAAAAGCTTAGGTTGCTGAACAATATTCTCCAAACAAAGTCTCTTCTCCTCTGCTATCTTTTCTAGTTGTTTCCAATAACTATGCATTCTTTTGATGTCTATCTCCGATTTTTCGTGCAATATGTTCTCCGGTTTGCCTCTTTTCTGTGTGTCTCGAGGATTCTAATCTGAGGCTTGTCTCGTGATGCAGTTAAGTGCTTCCAGTATTGTATGTCTTATTTCCCTTCAGTGTGCAGTATCTTGCATAGACAACTCGCTAATTGACCTAGAATATGCCGATGACATAGTCCTACTTGGTGAAGACGCTGACAAAATGCAGAGTCTTCTGACTAACCCAAGCAACAATGCAAGCATGTTCCGGATGCCGTTCTCACCCTCCAAATTCAAAATGTTGCTTCAAGATTGGGTTGCATCGGCACCTGAACAAGTGATAGGGAGTGAAGTAGTCGAACGTGTAGACCGCTTCACATATCTGGGGAGTCTCATCAGTGCTGATGGCCTGGTGGTGACTGACGAAATCTCTGCACGGATAGAGAAGGCTCGATTGGCTTTTGCCAACCTACGTCACTTATGGCGTAGGCGTGATATCCGTTTGCTGACTAAAGGACGAGTGTACTGTGCAGCAGTTCGCTCCGTCTAACTTTATGGCTGTGAAACATGGCCAGTGAGAGTAGAAGATATTCGTAGGCTACTGGTTTTTGATCATAGATGTCTTCGAAGCATTGCTCGTATATCGTGGGACAACCGAGTAAGCAACGCTGTTATTGGGAATCGGGTGCTAGGTAAGAATGGCAGATCAATAGATGAAGTAATGAAACTTCATCAGTTGAGGTGGTTGGGACATGTCTTGCGTATGCCTAACCACCGACTGCCTCGAAGAGCTATGTTTTGTAGTGTAGGAGTAGGTTGGAAGAAAGTTAGGGTCGGCCAGACCAAAACATGGCAGAAATCCATGAAGTCATTTACGAGTGGACTGAGCCATGTCGGTAATTGTCGACTACCTGTTTGGGGTCCGCGAGATGATAATAATCGATGGTTAGAGACCTTAAATGACATGGCTCAAAATCGGTCGCAATGGCGCATACCTATGATAATTGTTACTCTGGTTGTTAGAAGAGGCATCGGCCTATTTAGTGACTTCCGAAGAAACTTGGCTTTCAACATAAAGCTTCATAACTCTTCTAAATGAAGAAAGACCTTGCAACTGGCAAGGCAAAGTTTAATTGGTCTGAATGATTTGTTCTGTCTATCATTTTTTTCAACCAGTCAGTTTTTTAATGGGATAAGATCGCTAATCCCATCATACCCAGCCTTCTCTATTTATCCGGGCTTGAGATCCGACAGTAAACCCACAAGGGCTTCCAGTGGAGGGAGTTGTATCACGCATACACATAGATGAAAATATTCACTGTGACTGAACAACATTCATATTGGAGAACTATTACTCAGTTTATTTATTAGTTATCCAGAGTTATCAACCAATATAAAGTAGCCTATTTTGTGCTAATATGCATAGTTAAGTGTTTACCAAGAAAACATGTTTTAAAATTGATGTTAACGTGTTACATTTCTTTAAATATATATATATATATATATATATATATATATATATATATAAATTATGTATGTGTATGATGATACTGAAGTTGTAATTGTCAATCCTCTTAGGTCAAGGCTATCTTTGGTCATTTATTTCACTTATCAAGATCTTTAATCACATAGCAAGAAAAAAAATGTACCATGAAACTGAAAACACATGAAATTGGCACTTGATTATTGATTGACCTGTTTGTTTCTTTTGTGAAATCAAAGTTAATTGACTAAATAGTTTGTGTTGTGCATGACAAACTATCTAACCACTGCATGCGTATGTGTTTGTTTGTATGTGTGTGTGTGCACACATACATATCATGCTTTTTAAAGGTTGGATCAAGAGTTTTTCAATTGAGTACACATAGTCAAACAGAGAGAACCACGATCCAGTATTGATTATGCTCAAACAACGTTTTAGATTTAAATTCCGTAAAATAACGTCATTTTACCATACATAATCACAGATCATTAAACTTTGAAGTCACTGATTGATGATTTATTTTATCAACATAGAAAGTAATGGATGTATGTGAATTGATTGGAGTTTAAACGGGTTCTTATCTTTTTCGGAAAACAAAACATGAAAATCAGCAGTGATAATGTTTAAAATCGATCTCTGGTACATATATGCTGAGGGAAAGCCTAAAGGCGGCCAAAACGAAACACGGCACATAGTCCATGTAGTCACTGACAAGTGGGCTCAGCAGTCATGTCGGTAGATGTAGACTACCTGGTTGGTGTCCTCGAGATATTAGTAACCGATGGTAAGAGACCATGAATGATATGGCTCAAAATCGTTTGCAATGGCGCAGGTGCATCCACTCTCTTTATGTTCTCTGAAATTCTAATCCTCTGGATTCCTTATCACATTTATCTTTCTCTTCTTTAGCTTATTTCACTGAATTGTACTTCTTGAATACTATCTTCGAACACTAATCTCTCCGAATACTGCTAATACTTCACTGCCTTTACTACTTAGGGATTTGGATCGACAATTCCATCTCTGTGTCCTAATGTGGTATGTCAACTTAAACTGATGTATGTATGCACAAAGTTCTACGTTGTAACTAACTATCTAACTGACTAAAACATGTATTCGTTTGAATGAATCTACACATTGTTCTTTCTAGTTGTCCGGATCAGTGTATTTCTCCTATGTCTTCTACGTCAATTGTTTTTTGACTTGGTTTCTTTCATTTTTTTGATTAAAAATTATGACCAACTCCTACCGATTAGTGACTTTATAAGTTTCCGGTTTGTTTACATCTCAATCAACTAATTTTTAATACTATTCTGCAAATTTAAATTCATCTTGCTCGACTTACAATTTTACCAATCGGTTAGTATTATTAGCTTCTCACACATGGAATAGATTGATCAGAGTTAGACATTTCAACACCTTTGGATGCCGGCTCATTGGTTCATAGGTTAAGTGTTCACACCCAGCTGCTGGGTTCGAATCCTGCGGGTGGCAAGAGTCGTGGGTGTGCACCGCTGGTGAGTTCGACAG